TCTAAGGTCCCTTCAACCCAAACCAGTCTGGGATTCTGTGTTAGAAAATACAGAAGTGCCTGAGAATGGTCACATAGGAATTAGGGCTTCTTCTCCAAAAAAGGTGGTGGGATTGACAGCCCAACTGAAGTGCATCTACGCCAGTGCACACAGCATGGGCAGAAGACAGGAGAAGCTGGAATCCAGCAGCAGGAAAGCTATGACATAGTTGCCAGGATGGAAACACGATGAGATGGTGACAATTGGGTCAAGTGTTTATGGGTATGAATCAGGAGAGGCCAACAAGGCAGATGTGTGATGTTGACATTGGGAGGTGTCTGATACCACCAGGTCCTCCCAAACCAGCTGCTGACTCTGCTCCCCCCGTGTCGTTTGCAGCTGGCTGCCCCTGGCTGGTGATCACAGACTTTGGTTGCTGTCTGGCAGATGAAAACATCGGCTTGAGACTGCCTTTCACCAGCTCTTACGTGGATCGGGGCGGCAACGGCTGTCTCATGGCACCCGAGGTACATCCCCCTTGTGGCAGTGGTTTGTGTTCCTGGTTGTCTGCTTGTCCTGCTGCCAGGATGAAAAGCTCCAGCCTCTGGTGCAGGCTGTGACTGGAACTTGCAAAAGGGTGAGATTAGGTCTAAAAGTGGCAGAAGGGATGCATGCACATTGCTTTGCTGGGATTTGTCCCCTGGCCTTCCCCACGTGTACGCACCAGTGCTTGCATCTGTGGTCTCTGCTGGTGTGTTCCCGTTGATGCCTCCTGAAAGCCTCTGCTGTCAGGTCGATTTTCTGCCTGTTCCTCTTTATTGACATAACGTGGTCTTGCAAGAATAACCTGATGCTGGCTACTGCATAACTAGTGTCACCCATGGTGAGCAGTGTCCCCTCAAGCAGTGTAGGAGGTCTGTGTCTTGAGTATCTGCATTAATGAAAGAGGTCCTCTTCAGACCCCTGCTGAGCAGCTGTGGAACAGACACCTTGAGCTCTAGAAGGTGAAATGTAACCAGGCCCTGTTAGAAGCACAATCGACCTTTCCCACAAAATGTTTGCTCTTTATTTTTCTCTCAGGGCCTTTTCTGTGTAGCTGTTGAAGAAGTTTATGCAGATAAACTCCTTGTGTTGCAACAGTAATTTTTGGATGAAGTTCAGGGTGGTTGTGAAATTATTTATTGTTCTCTTTATTCTCTGATAATAACTGTAAGGAAAGGGGAGACACCCTTAACTCTCTGCTTGACCTTGTCTTGCTTAAGTGCTGGTGCAGTTCATGTGCCTGTCTCCTGCCTGTCTGAAATCCCAGTGTGAAATAGCCCTTGGCAATGACTAAAGCCTGGGTGCAATGACCAGATTCCTGCCAGTGCCCCAGTGGGCTGAGCAGTGCCAAAGGCTATGGGCATCCCAAAAGGAATATTTAGACCAGAGATTTAGATGAAACAGCTTTGGTTTCAGTCTCTCTCGGTTTATTACAGTGGGAATGCTGACTCCAGCCTTGGAAATCAGCGTTAGCACAGGGCCCACACTAGAGCTGTTTGTCTGAACACCCCCATCTCTGTGGCAGGTGATCACAGCCTCGCCTGGTCCAGGCACAGTGATCAACTACAGTAAATCTGATGCTTGGGCTGTTGGAGCAATCGCCTATGAAATCCTTGGCCTGGCCAATCCTTTCTATGGCCACGGGGCCTCGGCTCTGGAAAGCAGAAGCTACCATGAAGACCAGCTGCCCAGCCTGCCCGACCACGTGCCCCTCGAGGTGAAGCAAGTGATAAAGATGCTGCTTCGGAGGGATCCCAACAAGGTAAGAAGATGTCTTGGAGACCTCTGGCATCTGACTGGTCTTTGGGAGTACTGACTGTGGATCGTTTTGCCATGGAGGGCTGCAGGTTCAGGGGGGCTGTAATCCAGATGTCATTGCAGTCTGGATAACGAGCAAAGACAAGCAAAAAGTCTTTGCTGAGGTGCAGTGTGGCCTCTCAAAGGTGGCCCTGAATAGATTCAGTGACAGGACAAGGGGAATGGCTTTAACCTGCCAGAGAGGAGATTGAGATGAGCTCTGAGGCAGAAGCTCTTCCCTGTGAGGGTGCTGAGGCGCTGGCACAGGGTGCCCAGAGAAGCTGTGGCTGCCCCATCCCTGGCAGTGTTCAAGGCCAGGTTGGACACAGGGGCTTGGAGCAACCTGCTCTAGTGGAAGGTGTCCCTGCCCGTGGCAGGGGTTGGAACTGGCGGAGTCTTAAGCTCTCTTCAACCCAAACCAGTCTGGGATCCTGTGATTTCAGTGGATATTTGTGTTAGGGAATTGGGGGCATTCCATGCAGCTGCCCAAGGAGCTTTTCCATTCATAGGGACTGTGTGGTGCCTTAGAGGAGGCCCGGGGGTCCTTGGGCAGCGTGGATGCTACGTGGAAGTGCAGCAGGATGAGCTAATCCTCCCTCTCCCTCCTTTTGCAGAGACTCTCTGCCAGAGTTGCTGCCAACGTGCTTCACCTGAGCCTCTGGGGTGGAAGCGTCCTGGCGACCCAGGCCCTGAAACCCGACCAGATGGTCACTTGGCTCCTCTGCCAGTCTGCAGCCACCCTGCTCACCGAGGGGCTGGTGGATCGAAGCCGGGTGGAAACCAAAATGAAGATGTGCTTTTTGGCAAACCTCGGGGCAGCCATATTCCGGCTGCTGGCCTGGAGGAGCCGGTCTGGGTGAAGCACAAGCAGTGATAGATGGTTCTGTTTGAGGGCACATGGGGTCTGTCTTTTCTGTCTGCCTGGAACCCTGTAGCACTTTAGGGAACAAAACTGCAGGCCTGTGTGTAAGAGGTTGGGTTTCTCTCTAGCATTAGCACTCGCTGCTTTTCTCTCCCTGCTAGAGGAACTGCCTTTGCTTCATTACTCTCGTGGCATGAGGCTGTGCAGACCTTGCAGGTGTCCTGAGTTGGATGTGTTCACATTTGGGAATTCTTAGTTGACTTCGAAGTCATATGTTGGATGAAGAAGAGGGTGTGTGGGGAGGAGGCACTGTGCAGCTGCTCTTTACACTGAAGCATCACAGATTGAAAGAATACATGGAGAAAGCCAAGCTGGCAAAGGGATGTGTGATCTCTCTGTCCTTAGGGAGTCCAGTGGTGCCTCTGCAGCCACGGGTGGATCTTGCTGTGGAGTGACAGCAAAGCCTCCTAGTGAGGTGCTGGCTGGTAACGAGCGTCAGGAGTGCTCTCTGCTGACGGTAGCACACCATGAAACACCTCGGGAGTTGTATGTGAAGCACATGGAGCTCAAACCCCACTTAGGTTTGTGTCTTGACTGGTGCAGCTGAGCAGTGGGTCAGGGCTGAGCCACACTGTCAAGGTAGGGATAACGCTGTGTTAAAATGGGGCTGAGCAGTGGTGCCTGCTTAAAGAACACGGTGTGATGCTCTTCTGTTTTACTGACCTGCTTTTCAGTGGTGTAATATCCTTTGGTTGGGGAGGACACATCAAAGTTTGAACAACAAGAGTCACGTTTATGAAACCATCGTTCAATTTCATGTCTAGACTGGTGTTTAGAGGATCTTACGCATGTTATTGCTGCACAATAAACTGCAGTTTATGCTCCTCTGCTGCCATGGGGTCTCTCAGCCTCGTTTGTCTGTTTGTTGGGTCTGGGCTTTAGGCTGCAGATGCACTGGGGCAACGTAGCCCCGGTTTGGTGCTGCCTTTAAAGATCATCCAGCTCTTTATGGTGCTGTCTGTGGAACATGTTCTTTTATCCCCCAGGCAGAGTTTCCTGGAGAGGAATGGACTTTGCTTCGTGAATGTGCCCATTTCTCTGTCTGCTGCTGCAGTTTCCAGGTCGATGACATTGTGTCGATGGCTCATAGCCCTCATCATGCGGTTAACGTGCCATCAGGCTCTCACACACTGAAACAGCGCCTGGCTCAGCAGCACCTGGGCAGGGGACAGCCCTGTTCATGGAGCCTGTGAAGGAGCTCAGCAAAGAGCCTGGGAAATCAGGGAACACGAGCTCTTTGGGGACAAACTTGCTGAAAAAGATCATGTTGATACAGATCTGACCCGTGTCTCGCAGGGGGGCCTGGTCCTTTTGGATGGGTAAACACTGGTAGCTCCCTGCTCCCACCTCTCCTCCTGTTGTTCCATGGTCTGAGCCAGCAAGAGGGGGTTGGATCAGCTGGACACAGCTCTCCTTGGTGGTGAGATAGGGCTTTCCTTGTCCCCACAGCACAGGGCATGGAAAACACACGTACTCCCTGTCCAAACCCACTGCATGGAGCAGGCTTTCTGCTGGGAACATCGCCCGTGACTTTCCCTTCATCTTGCCCCTTCTCTTGCTGCTCCAATCCCTGCGTGAGCAGGGAGCAGAATCAAGAGCCAGAGCTGCCTGGTTTCAAGCATGTCAGCATCTGACCAAGCAGGGTTTGTTCTGTGCTGGGTAACTCCAGACCCTTGAACTCACCTCATGTCATCTCTGTCCTCAAAGATGCCCTTGAACACTTGTCCCAGAGCACCGCCTCTGGGTATTAAATCCCTCCTATTGCATCCCCTTTGCTTTTGCTTTGTAAGTCTGTGGGGCCACCGAGGTTTTGTTTTCCTTTCACTGCCTCCCTGTCATCAGTGGGATGATCCTCCAGCATTCCGGGGGCTCTTGAAAGGTGCAGTTTGAGG